GTATATTGTTTACTTAAACTTCAGTGCTTAGCTTCTTGTTCTATAAACTAAAATTGTTTTACTCACAGTCCTTTTCCGTGTCAAACATATTTCGCTTTCTTCATCTGTTTTGTCTTGAAACTCTATAGCTGTCTTTTCGCCGATCTGATGCACTTCATTTTTTGAAATGTTGACACTGAGCTTGTCCGACTAAACTTTCTGATTTTATTCCGTTTCAAATTATCTTTATGCCATGTTGAATCATCCTCATCCTGCTCGTTTTCTCCTGCAACCAACTTTGTAATTGAAATGCAAAGATGGGTGCAAGAAATCCCAATATCGAAAAACGATCGTATAGACTATCGCGATCATTTTCGCCGAACTTGTTTACCGACGATATTTGGCGCACGGAAACTTTAAAAGTCGACTTATAAATAGATGGATTTTTCTCTCTTTTGTAGCCAAGGTTTGTGCGGTGTTTAACATTACAAAGGGCATCAATGCTTGCAGAAATAGGACGTAAAAGTCTTAAAAAGCGATTCATTTTGATATTTGTTTATTTTTTAAATTTCCCGCGACGCCATTTAAAACCCGCGTGTTGCAAATCCACGCAAATTACAAGCAAGCTTAACACGCGCGAGTACATCGCTTTCTCGAACTTAGTCTTCCTTAAAGAAAAGTGTATCGAGCCACCTTAAAAAATAAGCAGAAACTTGACGTTTCGAGCGAAGGCCCTTCGTCAAGAATTAGTAGCCAGTATAGTTTTTGAGATTGTTTTACATTGTTTACTGCTATGTTCTTGCCATTTTAGTTGTTCATCTAAATCGTGATTCGATTTACTCTCTATATCTGGGGATGATAGTCCGTTACATGATAGACTTGACTTTATCATTTTGAAGCCTTGTCCCCATCCTGCATCTCCACTTTGACAGCATATAGCGACAAATGATAAACATTAAATCTATCATAATATTAAATTAAAAGTATCTTAACATTATCTGGTGTGCATGGACGTAGACGCAATGTTGTTAAAACAAATTTATGAACTCTGGCAGAAACCAAAAAAACTCCTAGTTGATAAATCAGGAAAGTTTCCCTATACCTTGAATTCTTGGACATGGCATGTAAGATTTTCGGAATCCAGCAATGGAAAAGCATATATACCAACATTGCGACACGGCCTTCGTCTTACATCACATAGTCCTGATTTACGTATGCCAATTAAGATAGGACTATCTTTTAACGATATCGAGCAATCGGCGGCTGTGTAGTCTTCAAAACAAGTGCAAGTTGAGTTGAAACACGTTCCATGATCTGAACAGTCGTTGGGGCATACAAAATCAAGAATTCCGGGTTCCAGTTCCAGTTCTCCGTCCGTGCTGTTTTTAAAGAATGAGATGTTCTTGTAAATATTTTTCTTACAGCTTTCTTCCATCACCCCAAAATTACTCAAAGCCCATTCTATGTCATCGCTGGCCTACAATACGTAAACAAAATGTTACTAATATTCCAAATTACAGTATGGTGTAATGCATGGGAAAACATACATCTACAATATGTTCAATGCATGTCAGTGCATGTTGCATGCACTATTTTCAAGCCATTGTCATTTTTTGTTTGAACTTTTGATACGACTGTGGAAGTTGCTTCGGATAGCCCACGTATCGTCGCCACGAGTTTGTCAGGGCCTTAAGAATTTGTCCGTAGGGACATCTACAAAAAGGAGCCATTCTATGTTCGCCAGAATATTTTTTTGCATTTTCCACCCCTAGAACTGCATTTCGTGTGTTTTCAGAAACAGATTCTTGGATATACAGCATTACATTATCCTATAGATAAACCGAATCTTCAGTCACTCGGTCACTAAATTGTTTAGCCTAGCTAGCCTTTCAACAACTCAAATCTGCAGGAATCTGTAGATAGTTAAAGTCCCTGGCATTTATTATTTTCTTCCCGCGATCAACAACCTTAATAAGTATTTTTGCCTTGAGGAATTGTTTATATGGCGGTTTGGCACGATCTGCGAAACTGCATGTTTCTCTTGCATATCACTGCAGCCAGTGGCGTAACGGAACCTCCGGAGGCCCCTGTCGGATTTTTGAGTGGGGCCCCTATTTTTTCCCAAGAAAAAGTCGGCGAAAGAAAAAATATCGAACCATATTCATTAAAAAAAAGGGTTCAAAAAAATTTTCCGGACTATGAATTAAAAAAGGTCAAAAACATTTTTCCCTATCTATGTCTATTAAAAGGGGGGGGGGGGGG